CCCCTACATGAAATCACAAGAAGGGAAGTGGCGATTCACATGGGAGTGAAGGAATGGACTAAACAAGAGTGAAACACCATCTAAACAGTAGGACAAGCACAAAACAAAGTTGCAATTTGCTGGCAAGTGAGAAAATGAAGAGAAAGTGAAGTGAGAGTGAGTGAAACTCACTTTCATGCATGAAATCACAAGAAGGGAAGTGACGATTCACATGGGAGTGAAGGAATGGGCTAAACAAGAGTGAAACACCATCTAATCACTAGGACAAACACAAAACAAAGTTGCGATTTGTTACCAAGTGAGAAAATTAAAAGAAAGTGAAGTGAGAGTGAGTGAAACTCACTCTCATGGATGAAATCATAAGGAGGGAAGTGGCGATTCACATGGTAGTGAAGGAATGGACTAAGCAAGGGTGAAAAGATCATCAAAGCACTAGAACAAGCAAAAAACAAAGTTGCGATTTGCTATCAAGTGAGAAAATGGAAAGAAAGTAAAGTGAGAGTGAGTGAAACTCACTCTCATGCATGAAATCACAAGAAGGGAAGTGGCGATTCACATGGGAGTGAAGGAATGGACTAAACAATTGTAAAAAGATCATCAAAACACTAGAACAAGCACAAAACAAAGTTGCGATTTGTCACCAAGTGAGAAAATTGAGAGAAAATGAAGGGAGAGAGAGTGAAACTCACTCTCATGCATGAAATCACAAGAAGGGAAGTGACGATTCACATGGGAGTGAAGGAATGGACTAAATAAGAGTGAAAAAATCATCAAAACACTAGAACAAGCACAAAACAAAGTTGCAATTTGCTACCAAGTGAGAAAATGGAGAGAAAGTGAAGTAAGAGTGAGTGAAACTCACTCTAATGCATGAAATCACAAGAAGGGAAGTGGCGAAGTCGAGCTCATAGGTCCCGCAGGGGAACCATTCCGGTCGCGTCACGCAGGAATTTGTAGGACTTCATCGTGGAGCATGGTTTGCAGCTCCGACCGAGTGCGGTTTCGAGGACTCCCGTTTAGTGAATGCGTGCGTGGCCCAAGGATGATGCTTGGCCTATGCATAAAAGAAGAGAGACTTTCAATAAACCCCCTGGATTGCTTGAGCATTGGAAGAAGCAATTGCATGATAACACTTAAAAGTATCAAGGAACATCGTGATTGACGAAAAGGTTTGCCGAGCCTACCATCCGGCGAAAGGGCGGAGCAACATCCCCAATGTCGAAGCTCTCTCGCAAAATGACCCATCCCCATCCATCTCAAACACTAGGTGGGGGTGCCCCTGTGACAAACGCTCCACGCCCTGAGCATGAGATCGGGCGCCGCAAAACCAACTGGGACCCGCAGTGGGGTCGACTCAGGCTCGAAAGTCTAACAGGGCACGGACCTGCACCGGTTGTCCGCGGTTCCTGATAGAGTCACGGAATCACACGGTTGTGGGAATACTAAGGCCAGATTTACCCTACCTAAAGAGGTGGCGCGCGGCCTACGACCGCGCGATTCAGGTTCTGAGTAGGCTAAAAAGGGTGATCGTGCAAAATCAACTGCGGTGCGGAGGAAATGGGGGGTCTTTAAGTTTTGGGCTACGAGGTCTACTCCATACGGAGGGCCTGATGTAGTTTCGTTGCCGGCCGTGGGTCGTCGAGCCAAGCCACAAAGTTGGGCCAACTGCCGAGTTGACGGCGACGCGGCTAGAGGTGAGGCATGCCGAGTCTGCCTAGCTATGGCAGGTGGGCCTACAGGGAAGTAACTCTTCTTATAGAAGAGCTGCGGGTTTAGCTCCCATGATAGGAACTAGCCTAGTAGGTACCGCCATCTGACTTTCACCCTGCAGGTTTAGGAATCGCGCCTGACAACAAGCAACTTGGCTAGCTCTTTTTGTTAGGAGCAGCCGATTCCCTTTGAGGTGACGTGGTCGATTCTGACCGCGTGATCGGGCAGATCATGCGGCCGAAATCGGCCGCGCGCAGATTAGCAAGGTCGCTGCGCAAGGATGACACGCATAAATCGAGGAAAGATTCAAGGTTTTTTTTTTTTTTTTTTTTTTTTTTCGTTTTTTTTTTTTTTTTTTTTTTTTTCCGTTTTTTTTTTTTTCTTTTCTCTTTTGTTTTTCTCTAAGATTTTCAGACTTGGGCTGAGGTCCCACTAGCAAAAAAGATAGGATCGAGCTCCTGAATCTGGATGTGTTTTATGCAGAGATGTAGAAAAGCAGTTCAATCTCGACTTCCTGCACATCTCAGTAACCTCGTCCAGATTCAGGCATTCGATTCGATCCTTTTTGCTAGTGGAACCACACCCTTGGGGGTTTGCTGCACGTGGTTGAAAAGCCACTAGTCGTGACTTTCTCGTTGGCTTGAGCCAACGGGAAAAAGAATGTAAAAAAAAAAACAAAAAAAAACTAAAGCTAAGTCATGGATGACGCGCCAGATGGCGCAGTCCGAAGTAACCAGGACGTTTGGGATCCTAGTAGCTCTGACGATGCCCGTTTTGAACGGGCGACCTTTTTTATGGTAGTTTTTTTTTTTCTTTTTTTTATATATTTTTTAGATTCTTAGATTTGCTTTAGATTTTTCTTAGATTTTGTTGTTTTCTTGTTTTTTTTTAAATTAGTAAGTGCCCGCTCTTTTTCAACGAACGGGCTGACACTTTAGATTAGGATGAGCAAAATCGAACGAATCTGCCGCCATAAGGCAACCACGTTCTTAGTGCGGGGTGGGACCTTGTACTTGAGTCACGAGGGACTCTCTGCATAGGTGGCTTTCGGCTGCCAGCGACGGTTGCGATCATTCAACATAGGTGGCTTTCGGCTGCCAGCGACGGTTGCGATCATTCAAAGAGAGATAGAGAAGAGACGAGGAGTCTTACCTGGTGGCGACTATAGCGCAACTCCAAGCAGGTAAGTCCCTAGTCAATGTGTCCCCTCGTTTTTTTCCCTTAAACCAACAGTACCTCCGAGCCTGTTTTTGCCGACCCTGATTTTCACTGCGCTCCGAGTTTTGCTGAGCCTGGGTCCCACTCCATTTCTTTATGGTACTCTCATGGGAA